TTAAGAGTCGAGAATGGTACAACGAATCGTCTTCTTTCTCTAGTAATTTAATGAAAGGTCAAAGCTTGCGCGCTTCGCGCGAGAGCGGGGGGGGGGGAGTGGCGGGAACTGAATTCAGACAAGAATAAGGAGTCAAGAATGGTACATCAAATCGTCTTCTTTCTCCAATAATTGATGAAAGGCAAAAGCTTCCGCGCTTCGCGCGGGCGGGGGAAAAATGAATTCAGACAAGAAATAAGAGTCGAGAATGGTACAACAAATCCTCTTTGTTTTCTAATTATTAATGAAATTTCAATCACCAGCGGCGTGCCAACGTACTGACAATGGATCATAAATCGCCATCATGCCAACGTACTAACACTGAAACATGAAGTTAATAACGTGACATTTCATTCATTAATTTCATATCGCATTAATTTGAAACAGCTCCCCCAAGTACTTTTAAAGAAATAAAATTGTAAATCTCCATCGTGCCTAGAAAGACAAATGTGAATGTTATATTCCTTATTCGGTCAATGGCCAGATGACGGACGGACCAACGTGCCAACGCTCCTTATTTCCTATATTATTTTCGTTTGGCAATGAGGGACGGGCCAACGTGCCAACGCGCCAACGCGCCTTATTTCCTTTCTTTGTTTGCCATTTAAAGGACACCACAAGTTCCTGATTTTTTTCCCCCATTACTTTTAGGCTACTTATTTCATATTTTAATTCAGTTTGTCAATGAGGGACGGGCCAACGTGCCAACGCGCCAACGCGCCTTATTTCCTTTCTTTGTTTGCCATTTAATAGACACCATAAGTCCTGATTTTTTTTCACTCTTTACTGATACTTTCCGACAGTTGTTACATTGCTTTTTGACGATTTTCAAGCAATATAAAGAGTAAAACATTCCAACTAAGGTGAGAACATCTTTAACAATCTATAAATAAAATACTTTGATGTGTAAGAGGTAATAGGAAGGAGTTAAAACATAACAAATAACCATATTTCCATGCTCGACTTGATGCGTTAGCAAATTCAGAAACTGGTCACGAATACGAAAGGAAGGGACTACACTAAATTGGTACGTTGGCGCGTTGGCGACCAACGGAGATACTACGTTTTGGTGGGGTATTCTAAAGTTAAGCCGATAACTTCACACAGGCAACCCACAACCCACCATCGGTATGCACTTGTAATTGTGCAGCGGTTTGCCGTAAAACATGTGAGTGTGAAAAAGTGTGTAGAGTCTAGGTCTACTATTATCAACGTTTTTCCGAAAAACACTCCAAAAATAACAAGAAAATTGACATGAAACAGGTAATAAACATAACAAATTTTAACTCATGATCTTTATTTGGACATTTGATGAATATTTACTTCATTTTGGGTATGTTTTTTAATAGGGTATATCCTGGCCGGAGTTACGGGTCAAATTTTAGATAGGTTTCTGAACCTAAGCGCCCACATTTTTTGATAAGTCAATGGCAACTGTAAACCCCTGTGCGTGAAGTTAGGTCTCGTTGTTTTTATGACTTTTTTAGATGCAAAGCGCACACACGATCGGACATCGAATTTTTAGATCGCGATATCTCCGAAATCCTTTGACAATAAATTTTCTAGTTGAACCAATCTGTAGGAAAAAACTTTGCGTCCATTTGGTAATACCGTAATTAACGGTGTATAAACCGCCCTCGTGTATTAAAGGTACTATGTCCCTTTTGCAGCCAACCTCAAATGCTGTAGAACTTTGCAGGAATTATGAATATGTCATGTATGTCCTGTTTACTTGCTAGACTTCACTGTCAGACATAGTATTGAGTGACTGACTGGCCTTTTTTCTTCTTTGGTAATAACATACGTGAAAAGAGTTGTAAAGGGTACATGAGCATTTGTCTACATCAATAACCCACTCCTTGTGATGGCCAAGATTAAACTGATTGAATCTTTGCGCAGCATAAAACGTATGACCATTCGGTACATTTGTCTGAAAATCAAGACTATTACTTTTGGGCTCTATAGCCCTAAAGTCAATTTGACAACTAATAGTCGTTATTTTCCCACTTGAAGACATTTTCAAGCCCCACCTTTTTTAGGGAAGTTCTAAATTAGTATTATCTTTCAAATGCAGTTGGAATTTAACTTTTTCATTTTTTTGGCCTGCAAATGGGACATAGTACCTTTAAACGCACCCCTCTTTTTTGCCGACTCTGTCGGCAGCAAGCCAGGTCCCTGTTAAAAAACCCACGCGGGAAGGCCTTTCATTTTACTGCGAGGTGCAGCTGAATGTGCAAGATCATTAATGTAAACTAAAAAACAGTAGAGGACCTAGGATAGAACCTTGTGGTACGCCATGTAATAGAAGAAAAATTAAGGAATTATTATTATAAACTAGATATTGAGATCTATCAGAAAGATTACTTTCAAACGAAAATGACAGACAAATTTGAGTGTTGTTCTAATTTCTGAGTGGTGAGTCAACACACCGATAACTGAGCTGGGAGACATTGCCAGGCATAGCGCCAGGTGGAGGGGAATAAATCGACACTTTAAAAAAAAAAAATTGGCGGCAAAAAGGTGCGGTTTATACACTGTTAATTACGGTAATTGAAATAAATAAATTTCTGTAGAATATGAGAAATCATAGATCGAATTTCACATTTTGTAATATGTTCTAAAATGTCTGTGAACTTTGGTCACCCCTTCATACAATGTAGTGATCAAGGCATAGAGAGAAGGGATTAATATTGATATTGACATTGAGAGAGGGAGAGAAAAAAAAAGAGACTAGGTGAGAAGGGAGATGAGAGAAAAATTAACTGAGATGGCTTTCTCAGAAGGGAAGGGTAAGGGATAGAAAGAGAGAGTGGGTGAAAGACAGATATCAGGAGGGGGCGGAGATGATGCAAGCAACACTTAAATAGCACAAAAGTAGGTTTATTTGCAATATCGGAAAATCCATGATTCCATGGTGACCCTGTGTGAAGTACTGAAGTATTTATGTTTTCATGGTTAGAGCCTGCAGCGAAAAAAAAAACAGAGTCTAGAGTAAGAGACAATAAAAGGAAAAAAATCAACAATTCAGTCATCTTACTCTTAAGCTTATCCATCCCTTTCCTTTTAATCCTTGTGATCAATCAACAAGTTTCCCCAGAAATCTGGGCGCACATTGATACTAGCAGAAGTAGCTAGTAGGCTAAGCAGAAGTTATAGTTTGGTAAGTGGGAGGTCAACAACTAGCTGACTCATGTGGCCATGAAATTTGAAGGAAGATGATCTGATCAGATTTTGGGTAAATACTAGGTCAAATGTCAAAGCTTGCAGAAGTCAATTTCTGAAATTACAGGTTTTAGCCTTGCTATTGCCATATCTTATAAGAACCATAGTATGTACTATGTAGCACCACAGGAAGAAAGTCTCATTGGATTTAAGGTACATTATAGGTACATGTACAGGTCAAATGTCAATTTCTGAAACTAAAAGTTTTTAGCCTTGCTTTCGCAATATTTAGACGGTATCAATGTAGGAAGATAATCCAATTTTTTTTTGGGCTAGTAGGTGAAGATCATATTTGTTGGTTGACCTTTGATTACCGGTATAGGCTTTTTGTTTTCATCATATGGCACAAATAATTCCCTCCATTTCCTATACCGAATTCAGGGCAGAGGCATTTAGGAGACAGTCGCATTTGTCTTTTTTCTTGTACTTATAATGAAGTTTTTGTTCCTTCTGTTTCTTTATCATCATTCTGTCTCTCAATCTCTCTCAGCATTCCTTCTCATATATCAACAGTACTGACTTTCATTCTCCTACCATTAATAATTGCCTCGCCAGTGTTTCTTGATTTCCCAACAAGTATAATGTCATTCATGTGTTTTTAAAAATCACCCCAAAACTCAGACATTCCCTATCAAAGCGTTTAGGTTTGTTTACAAATAAATTCACAGCAGAGATTAATGCTGTCAGACGGAAAGATAAAAACATAGTGCGATGCATGTCCGCTAGTAAGGACAAGGTCACGTAAGATTTGGTGTCTAGTATATTGTCAATTTTTTGTAAATCAAAATGTCGGTTGTGCTACATCCAGGTTGGTTTAAGGTTATTATAAGTTTTTTTGAATTGTTATTGTTGTTGGATTTCAAGCCAGGTTACTATAATAATTCAAAGTATATTTTTAAAAGATATCATTTTATAGCTACTTTGTATTCTTTATTCTAAAATACATTTGTTAGCTCACCTATATGTTGTCATCAAGATTAACATTTAATTTTGTTTAGCAAAGTTAGCAGCTCTAGAAATACTGTAAACAATGTAGACCTATTTAATCTATTTGAATAATGTGTGTTGAAAATGATTGATTTTAAAGCATTTATGCTTGTAGGAAACTGTCTCAGAACAGAATATGCCATGTCATAAATACCTTCATGTATTTGTGTCACCCTATTTTTACATGCACAAAGTGATCTGGGATAATCTCTCATGCAGACAAATATACTGGGATGATGTCCCAATAATGCACACCAATAAACTAGCTTGTGTTCCAAGGAGCAAAACTGCTGGCTATCCCAGGACAAAAGAAAAGAAAGAATGAAAGAAGATGAAGACAAAGCCTTGCATGCCCCAAGACCAAGATTCTAGAGATCCTATTGAATGAATTAATGTTTATATTACTCATATATTGGATCATTCTACCTTGCAAGAGGCAACGTTTCTGTTGATTGTTCTAGTGCAGCTACCTCTGAGGCTGATCACTTCCCTCCCTGACACAGCCCTGCTTATGAATAACTGGATGGTTCTATAAGTGTGTTCCTTCAGACTCAGAAGTTGTGATATTGTAGAGATAGCTATATCAAAACTGCTTAACCCACTCTTTGAAAAAGAACAAATTATTGCAGCAGCATCCGATCTCGCCCCAAAAAGCTGATACAATTTTTTCTTCCAGATTATGTTTGAATGTATTAAAATCCATGATGAAATTAAACTTTGTGGTTATTGTTATAATTTATTTTGTTTTTCAGGTGAAGAATAGCATCTCCTATACAAGACAAGCAAACTTATTTTCGACATGAGTTACATGAACCAGCCACCAGGGGGTGGATATCAGAACTCTTATGCTGCTCCCCCAGGTCAGGCTCCACCCAATGCTTATGGAAACTATGGCAATCAGCCTGGCCAGCCCACTTTGGGAGCTCCACCTCCTTCAGGAGGGATGCCTCCCCCAGGGCCTGGGAAACCGCCTGCAGGAGGTGCGTATGGTGACAACAGTACACCGCAGAACTCGTATGGAGGATCATCAATGAATGGACCATCATCGACGGGACCTCCCCCGCCTGGTCCAGGCAGTAACCAGTTTGGGGCACCTAGACCGATGGGTGGGTACCCTGCACAGGGGCAGCGGCCACCTGGACCAGGGCAAGGACCACCAGGACCAGGGCAGGGAGCTCCTCCAATGGGAGGACAGCCACCTCAGGGACAACCGCAGCAAAATCTACCAGGAAGCTACGGCATGCAAACCAGGTAAGGCTTAGACCACTCAGTTTTTTTTGTATTTATAAGACACTTCTCTATGGTTGTCTGTTACATTGATATGAGTAATTATGAATGTAGGGATTAAGAGTATGAAAGATTATTATTATCATTATTTATCACTCAATCACAAGTACAAAGTAAGTATGGAGGGGGGGGATGCAATGTTTTTTTTTCTTCTTCAGACAAAGATCATTTTAGCAGTATGTTTTCTTTGTTTTTCATTAAATAAATCAGGCGGCCTAAAAAAAAGGAAGTGGGCGGGGAGGCTAAACATTAAATTCTTTTAATTTTGCCAAAGTATTCATAATTTTATAGCACATAAAATATTTTAGAACATTATAATGATCATCTTCAGATGGCCTTTTCTTTGGATTGTCCAAATTACAATAAAATGGTTGAAAAAAAGGAATGTCTGAAATTGAAAAAATACAAATATTGTAAATGATTATTATTGTTCTGATATGAAATTACAAGATCATTGAAATTTGTAGTTCCGACAGCAAAAAAGAAAAAAATTATATTCATGTAATCACAGGTAAAATGGCTGGCGACAATTAAGATCACATATGTATACAAGTTTCAAGTTTTTGTCTAAGAAATAAAACTAATCAAAAATTGATCTTTAAACATATGATTGGAGATTATGCATAGACAAGTATAAGCTTCAAAGTTTTGAGACAAAGGTAAGCAAGGTAGATTTACATTGAATCATCAAAGGGCCCCCCCTTGAAAAAAATAAAAAATAAAATAAAAATAGTTTTGAAGCTGAAGAAGTTGACTAAAAAAAACTAAAATCGAGGTGTAGTACATAATTTTAAGCTGAGCTTATTTATGTCAATTTGATTTTGCAGACCACCAGTATCCAGCTCACAACCTGGTTTCTACCAGCCTGGTGCCCCACCTCCTCCGGGCGGAGCTCAACCCGTAAAGCAAGTAACCAATCAGATGTCAGCTATGAATGTATCTGGAGGTCCACCTCGCCCAGGCTACAATATGGTAAGATGAGCTCTTAGTTTTTGTTATCCCATCGAAGATATATTTTGAAGTCTGATACAGTCAAACTTGTGTAAGTCTATCTTGACGGGACTTAGGCAAAGGCAATCTTTGACTTGTGTGTAAATAAGACTTGCGTAAATGTACTACATGTAGTCATGTCTGTTGTATGTATGTTGAGTCTTAGCCTACCGCTCAAGTTGTGCAAAAATCAGGGCAATGCAAATATCAATTCAACCTACTTTTCTGGACAATTAAAACAAGGAATCCAGATCATATAAAACAAAATAAATCGCTCCTCTTTCCCTCTTATTTTCATAACTGCTGTAATCGTGAATTTCAGTTGTTCGTTCGTCACCCGGAAGTACAGATGAGCTTCTGAGCGTTTGAGTACAGTAAATCCTATTCATTTTTCTCAAGAAAAAAAAACGGAAATTCAGAGAGAGAAGAAAGTAGGAGCACACGCCAACAAATCTGGGGTACAGGGGTGTATTACGTAAATGAAAACGATGTGAGATGCATGCTTTGACAGTGATGGATTACATTTTTATTGGAAATAAATGTGAATGTTGTCAATTTCATGATTTGAATACTCATTATTCTTTCCTTATTTTGCATCAGGGAGGTCTTCCAGGAGGTCCACAACCACCACCTGCTTCAGGGGGTTACGGGGCGGGGCCACCTTCCAGCCAAGCACCCCCATCAGGGTTCCAAGGCCAGCCTCCAACAGGCTTTGCATCAGGTCCTCCAACAAACAATTACTCCAATGCCCCCACTCCATCATCAAATACAAACTATGGTGCCCGTCCAACAAACACAAGCTATGGTCAACCGGGCACAGCCGGACCTCCCCTTCTGAGTAGCTACGCAACAGGACCACCACCTCCCCAGATTCCCCAGATGGGCCAAGGGCAAACATACAGTGGGGGTGTGGCACCCCCAATGGGACCGGGTATGACTCCACCTGCCACCCCGCCTGGGACCGGCCCACCAGGGCCACCAGGGATGGGGTACCAAGCTGGAGGGCCACCCCCAGGTGGGATGGGGATGCCACCTCAGGGGGGTGGTGTAGGGGGGTATGGACAACCCCCTGGTCCAGGTGGGATGCAACCCCAACCCCAGACACAGCAGCCGCCGCCTGCTCCTAAGAGGCTTGATCCAGATCAGATGCCCAGTGCAGTAAGTTAATTGGACTTGACTACTGTCAAACCAAAACTTCTTGTAATTTGTCAAATACATCCAATTTACAGCAAGAAATGTAAGTTGTGATTCAATTATGAAATTCCCGCAAATTTGAAACAATTTGTGCCTGGTTTTATAGTAACATGATCATGGCATTTCATATACCAGTGCGTTATGTTCAATTTGTTGTAGAGCTAGGTTAATAAACATTTTCAGAAATAACTTCCAAGAGTCAAATTAATATTTTTATTGTTTGTGTCATTTTCAAATTTGGCTTTAAATACTTTATTAACAGTATATCTGGAGATGGGTTATCAGTTTGCAATCTTAATTCATCCATTTTCTGTATCTATAGATTCAAGTAATCGATGACGACAAGAGAACACGAGGAGGGCAACAGTTCATCACAAACCTACGAGGACAGGTGCCACCCCTTGTTACTACAGACTTCCAGGTTCTAGATCAAGGTAAGATTCAATTCAATTTAATTCAAAATCATTTTATTCCTGAACATCAAATAAAACATCAGATTGTACATTCGTAAATAATTACATTTGATCAAGAAAGGAGGACAAAAAAAAGTATACACTTGAAAATAGGAAGCCTACAGATTATTAAATTATGTGTACATGTCAGATGAAAACACATTGTATACAAAAAATAAACGACATGTATTTTAAGAAAAATATAGAATCAGATTTAGATTCTTTTGGGGATAATTCATTCATACAGATATTGTCATTGTGTCAGTTATTACACCTAAAGATCCAATGTCAAAAACTAAGTGCAAGGATTCACACTTGATATTTCCTTTGAGGTTTGGAGCCAAATATTGGGTGTCTGTGTTCATCTAAAGAGAAATAACCCACCTAAATCATACAATTTTTGAAGAAAAAATTTGAGTTTAGTCATTTTGTCCGCCACTACATCAGAAAGACTTGACTTATTCAGCTAATTTTAAGAGCCCACACATGTACCTACAGTGATTACAACTTTTAAAACTTCATGACTTTCTAATTTTTGTCCGATTTCGTTCAAACTTTCACCAGGCTACTTCTCTGATTTTTTTTCAATTTTTCTCCAGAGTAGTTTCAGGGATGCCAGTTTTCAGGCAAAAGCCTGAATTCAGGCCTGGCGATTTATTTTCAGACCATAGTGTAGGCTTTTTTGTATACAAAATTGCTCATTATAGGCGATTTTCAGGCCCTCCGATCAATTCTAACTGGCATCCCTGTAGTTTGCTATCAAGGTTGGATTTCCCTTTAACCATTCTTATATTCCTTTCAATTTTCCTTTTCAGGAAATGCCAGTCCCAGAATTATGCGTAGCACTATGTATAGCATTCCATGTACTCAGGACCTGGTGAAACAGTCACAGATACCCATAGGGGTTGTCATATCACCTTTTGCAGAGACGATTAACAATGAGGTAAAGAAATATTTATGTCCTAATTACTTTAAAAGCTTTGGTGTAGCATCAGTCAGATACGCTTTGAGCACTTTATGTGCCAGACTAATAGAAAGTGAAGTTTCTTTCTTCCTTCTCTTTATTTTAAAATGTTTCTGTATATTATGTCTTTACTTACTCAAACCGTGTGTATTTATGAAATGAGGCTGTATCATGTACTTTTTCAGTTATCTGCTGATGTACATGAGCAGAAAAACAACTTTGAAGTTTACAGTGTAAGAAATGAATTTGGTCTAAGATTAGCTCAATTATAAAGTAAGAATCCATGCTAATAAGAAACAAAAGAGTATTAAAAGGACCTTTTAATTGTCCTAAAATGGCTAATGTTTTGTTTGTAAGGTATGTTTAATGAATTCATAGAAAAGGGTGTCTTTTGTAAGTGCATTAATAACATTACTTGCGAATTGCATTTTCATGCTATTTTCTTGATCGATTTATTTTTGATTTTATGGTTTAAATTGCTCCATATTTCCTCAGTGACGGGATCAAATGTACTTGTGTGTCCTTTTCTTTTTAGAACCGGCCCCCTATAGTAGACCATGGTCCTAATGGGCCAGTCAGGTGTAACAGGTGCAAGGCCTATATGTGTTCTTTCATGAGCTTTGTGGAGGGAGGCAGGCGGTTTCAATGTGCCTTCTGCGGTGGTCTTACAGAAGGTCAGTTAAAGAGGAAGTCTTTTTTTTTTTAAAGCTCATTTTTCCAAAGGTTTATAACTCTGAAACCGTCATTTTGTCATTGTTAAAATCTTATTTTTGGAATTGTGAATTCTCTTTCATTTCCGATATTACAAACCATACTTAATTTCCAGAATAATGAACCCTTTTTCACTGTTTAAATTACAAACCTTATGTCATTTTCAGAATTATGAAACCTTTGGAATTATGAAACTTTGGAGTAACAAAATTCTGGAATAACAAATATTCGGATGGAGATTTTTGGGACTACTTTTTTTCAGTCTAAATTATACATGAGCTCACATACCAGGCACTATGTGTAATACAGTCAACGGCAATCAAGACCTGTACATGTTATATAAGCATCCTATTTGGATGATGTTCAATGCCATTGTTAGTGAATTACCACATGCCCCGACAGTGGCAAGAATACTTCCCAGGGGAGTGGAGATTTGAATTAATCTGATAACTTGGGTAATAACTTTAAAGTGGTTAGTGATTTTGGTCCATTATGAACAATAATGGTAATTAATTAACTCTTAATATGCCACTCGAACGATCTCCCTGTGCCACATTGTATCTTTTACGGGATAGGTATTCCAAAGGCTTCACGATTAAAGATAAACTTAAGTTCTAGTAAAAAAAGAAACTGAATTCTCACAGAATCAAACGAAACTTACACTGAATGTTCAAGATTACAATTAAATGTCATGTACCAAACAATTTTGGAAGAAAATATATACTGGCTGAGTAATGAGCATAGAAAGATAAGGAAATCAAGGTAAGCTAGCCCCGACACCATTTGTGTAGTCCCATATACATCTTTCTGTGTACAGTGCTTGTTACTTTACCAAGACTGGGCCAAATTTATTATGATTTTAAAGACTCCAGAACCTTGCAGTGCACACCAATACTTACATGATGATCAACTTGTTCTGATCCATTCCACACCTTTTCTTTCACAATGCGATCACATTACCAGAACTCACCTTTATATTTAAGTGTTCCCAGTCCTTTCATCAATTGGTGGCTGTTGTTTGTTGCAAAAGTTTACATGTGGCAAACAAGCGACAGTGCAAAGAGACGAAGAAAGCAATCAAAGTTTGAATAAGACCCCGGTTTAGGAAGAGAGGTCTTCCTAAAGGTCATTGAGAAAAGAACCAAGTGGAAAAAACTTTTCAACTCAGTACAAGTATGCTCAATCTTCAAATACAATAGATTATTTGGAATTTTTAGCACACTCAGGCCTGATAATTACCCGATTTAAATCGTTTTCCCAATTTGTAATTATTTTTTTTTTCCCGGTTTTTTTTGTTTCTTCCCGATTTTATCCCGATTTTCAAATTTTTCTTTCGTTTTCTCTATTCTTCCCAATATTCTTACTCAAAAGGGGGAATGTTGTTAGATGCCATTTTTTCCCCTGCGAATCCTCTTTTTTTTTTTTAGTACTCACTATCACCCCCGCACACTAATGATTTCAGATTTCTAGATTTCATAGTATTTATGTATTTTTTGTACCTTTGACACAGTTCCGCCTGAATTTTTCCAGCCGTTGGATCACATGGGCAAGAGAGTTGACATGTTTGAAAGGCCGGAGCTTTCATTAGGCACCTTTGAATTCTTAGCTACTACTGATTATTGTAAAGTAAGTAATGTCAAATATTTCATTCAATGGTTTGAACTACTGCCCAGATCAGCAAGCGCAAATTTTAGAACTCATGAAAATATGAACATGACTTTTTATGCGTGTTTTGAACAGGCTGAATTGCGTGCAACGCGAATATGTTTTGGGGTCGCTCAGCGCAAAAAAAAACTAATCACGCAAAAATAACAACATTTACAGTAATTGAAATGGAATCTTTTAAGGTGATCTTTAAACAGAGGTAATCTTGTGAAAAACAGTTTATTTCATTTTCTTCTCCAGATAATGTTTTTTTTAATGTTACAAATAGAGCATTTTTATCATTGGTAAAATTTGGTTTATCACTATTACCCAATGGATATTTGTCTTTCCTTTTTCATTTGTGATATACTTGTAGGTTGAATTCCATAATACTAAAGACAGTCCTAGAAATTTTTTTCTCATCAACTGAACTACTTGTCAATGAACAGTAGCTTAAGAAGAGAGCCTTTTACTAATGCTATTGCTTGTTTATGTAGTGCAGAACAATGCACAGCTCAACCCACAAATATAAATCTTTCTTGGATGTTTGCAAATAGAGAATAGAGGCATTCGATTTATATTTATTATCCTCTTTAATTCGTAAAATTATGAATGGCTGAAATCCATAATTCTAAAGACAGTACTAAAAGGGCTTAATTTCATCTGTTGAAATAAACTTCCATGAAAAAAAATGTAATTTGATTCTTGAGTCGAATTTGATTAAATTGATTTGATTAATGCTTTGCTAAATTTCAATTGCTATCTCTTCTCTTTTTTCTGTACAGAACAACACACCGCCCAAGCCACCAGCATACATCTTCATGATAGATGTCACATACCAGAGTATGAAGACTGGTATGGTGAACCTTCTTTGTCAACGGCTCAAGACACTGCTAGATGATCTACCAAAGTAAGCAATAAGAAATGGTCTCTTCTCTTAAAATCAGTTTAAAAAGTACTAAATGTCTTGGAGAAGCATCTCCAGATGAATTAAATGTGTCCTGGGGGGTGTTTCACAAGGATCCTAAGTTGAACTTATCTCTAAGTTGGACTTACAAATTATGGAGAGCTATTTGTAACCTTAAAGAGATGGTTTATTGATTTCAAACTTGACTAAATCTGGTATCATTGGAATCGAAAAATTACACTGAGTAAAATCATTACATTTGTGTAACTTGTACATTCGAGCGAAATTTATAAAAGTTGATTGAACTTGATGAAAACTCAACTCACTCATCGCCCCGAAAACATCCCAAGTCAGCTGATTTTTTAAGTGACGTCACAATGTGAACAGCGGACCGCTCAGCTGAAGTGATTGACGACGGTGCGAGATGCAATTTGCGTGCGATTCACATGTATTGCGTTGACTTTCAAGTACCGTACCCATTTATACCTAACGCTGTTTACCTTCATCAAAGTCCCCTGGAAATATAGATATGGACAAAAACATACTTGGGTATACTCCAGAAGGCTCCTCCATGGCATGGTTTCGGTTCTTAATCTGACGTTATTCTAGATAAATGGTATATAACTTCCAAAAAGCGAGTGAATATATCGTCGATGTAGCGTTCAAGTTTACACCCGTAGCAAGTAGCTGTGCGTAGGTACTCTGTGCATGTGTGTGCCGTAGCCCGGCGCTCGAGCTAGCCATGAATCGCGAACCGGACTGATCTGTTTCTCTCGGTTTATCAGGTCCTATACGACTTAATTTATCAAAAATGTAAATTAATCAGCCTAATCACACATTTTTGTAACGAATATCTGGACAATTCTATGTAAATTTGTCGCCTATTTTACTCCAAAAGAGTCGTTAGGTCAGCATGCAAAATGTCCTTTGCCTTCCCAGATCAGACACATACACGCTGAAGTGCCCTCAGAATATGTGATTATTTTCCCGATTTTTATGCTCAAGTGTGATGGAAACAAATATAAAAATCAAACAAACATTTGTAGAAAGTATCATTTATTCAGTGTATCTCATTCAAAATGCCACAAATAGAGGAAATATCACCACTGGCCGTAAATGTACAAACAACGTTAACCCATATCTGAAAATTGCAATGGGTATCCAACATTGTCCCGAATGTGTGATGTAGGTTGTTCATATTGTGACGTCATCATTTCGCTTGTAAAATAATGCCGTCAATTTACTTTGTGAGTGGGTTCAGGAAAAAGTAACAACATTGCATTTAATGTATACCTCACAACAGTGAGGGCTTCAAAAGTACTTTGCTCATTTTGTTAATGTTCTCAGCAACCTGTAGAGGTGTAATTTGCCCACTTTCCACATTTCAATGAACCATCTCTTTAAAATAAAATATATTCAAAAGCGAAATATCAAGTATTTTAGATTTTTATAAATTCCACATCAGGAACATGAAATCTCCTTGATAACAGCAAAATATAAATGATTTGAATCAACATTTTATGCCTTTTAAAATAACCTTTACAAAATATTTTCATAGATGCTAATGGCTTTCCATGATTATTAAGTCCAACTTAGAGATAAGTTCAACTTAGGATCTTTGTGAAACACCCCCAGGAATTATTAAAACAAAATTGTAACTTAATTTTAAATGTGATATCATCATGAAGGATTAAGATTGACACCCAATGTGTATTAGTCATGACCATGTCTATATGTGATTGTTATTTTTTTCAGAGAGCATGGAGCAAAGGAGTCCAACATCAGAGTGGGCTTTGTGACCTATGACACAACACTTCACTTCTACAATGTAAACAGCGCCCTCGCCCAGCCCCAGATGCTTGTGGTGTCAGATATCAATGATGTCTTCATGCCTCTACTGGACGGGTTCTTGGTGCAGCTCTCAGAATCAAGGGCTTGTGTTGAAAGGTAGCAATTTTATTCCCACTTTAAAGATAAACTTGAGTTCTGGTAAAAAAAGAAAATTAATTCTCACAGAATCAAACGAAACTTACACTGAATGTTCAAGATTACAAATAAATGACATGTGCCAAACAATTTTGGAAGAAAATGTATACTGGCTGAGTCATGAGCATAGAAAGACGAGGAAATCAAGGTAGTACTAGCCCTGACACCATGTGTGTTGTCCCATATATAGCTTTCTGTATACAGTGCTTGTTACTTCACCAAGACTCGGCCAAATTTATTATGATTTTGATGACTCCAGAACCTTGCAATACACACAAATTCTTATATGCTACATGATCAACTGTTTCTGATCCATTCCACACCTTTTCTTTCACAATGCAATCGCATGACCAGAACTCCAGTTTATCTTTAATATGACAATGTTTCTTCTATTTTTTTACTTGTCTTTTGTTACGGGGAACATCATCTTTTCATTCATATTTAAAAAATGAAACTATCATTGAACTTGGAAAAAGCATTCACATCTTCAGATCAAATTAGTAATTATTTTTTATTGTATTTTAACTTATTTTGATGGATATGCCATTAATGTGATATCTATATACAATGGAATTTAAAAAATTGAAAAGCATTTCAGGGAAAAGGAAAAAATAGGTTCATGAACACAATTTGTCAAAGTGAAAATAGGGCACTAAGGACTAACACAATATCAACATTTAGACTATTGTTATTAATCTTTTTTTTCACATGCTTTGTTTCCAGCCTTTTGGATCAAATCCCAGAAATGTTCGCAGAGACCAGGGAGACGGAATCCATGTTGGGACCAGTTATCCAAGCTGGGCTAGAAGCTCTCAAGGTATGCATCCCATCCACCTTGCCCAAAGAAAACATTGCATTGCCTGTTCCAAGTAATCTCTTGTTTTAAATGCCACCCCTCCTAATTTCATTGTGAATTCCGCATCTATCTCTTTCTTCCCTCCCCCTTCCCCCTCTCTATCTCTCTCTCTCCCCTCTCTCTGTCTCTCCCTCCCCTCTCTCTGTCTCTCCCTCTCCTCTCTCTGTCTCTCCCTCTCTCCCCTCTCTCTCTCTCTCTCTCTCTCCCTCCCCCTCTCTCTCCCTCTCTCTCTCTCTCTCTCCCCCTCCCCCACCCCCTCTATTTCTATCTCTAGCTTTATCTCTATCTCTGTGTTCCCCTCCTGATCTTAGTATCACCCTTTCCTTTACGTCTATGCTCTGAAAGGCAAAAATATTCTTAATCATTTTTAGCACACTGATAATGACGTACAGTGGATGCATACTATCCACTTGCCCAAATAAAGTATTACATTGCTTGTTCTTAGTACTCTTGCTTTATATGTCACTCTTCCCAATTTCATTTTTAATTCCATCTCTCTCTGTCTCTCTCTGTCTCTCCCTCCCCCCTCTCTCTCTCTCTCTGTCTCTCTCTCTCTCTCTCTCACTCCCCCACCCCCTCTATTCCTATCTCTAGCTTTATCTCTATTTCTGTGTTCCCCTCCTGATATTAATATCTCCCCTTCCTTTATGTCTATGCTCTGAAAGGCAGAAGTATTCTTAATCATTTTCAACACATTTGATTTTTGTGATTTTGTGGGCCAGTGTCTTGTCACTGTGCTCAAATCTGCTATTACCAATCCCTTTGGAAAGGACACAGATCTACAATAACAATCATGACTAAAGGCTGAAAAACATCTCACTGTTTTATTTATCTTGTAGGCTGCTGAAACGTCAGGCAAACTGTTAATATTCCACTCATCGCTTTCAATTCTGGAAGCCCCTGGCAAGCTGAAGAACAGAGACGACAGAAAACTGTTGGGTACAGACAAAGAAAAGGTCAGAAAACACATTTCACTTTTATTATTCTAGACTCGTTGCCTTTGGTATTAGTTTGAAAGACATTTAAGATCTACTGAATTACCCCAGGCATATTATGCTTATAGATTGATAAATAATACTATATATCACCATAGAAACAATAGTTATAGCGGTCAACTTCTGAAATTCCAGGTAGTGGCCTTGTTATTGCAGATAACAAGGCTAATATATATTGTATATTGATATATATATAATATTTATAGGAGAAGCTGTCATATTTGTCTTGTTTATTTCTTATTCTGATTGATCATAAAGTGTAGATATGATTTCATACCAAAATGCTGGAGACCTAAATGTGTTTAAATGGGATAGTTTAGTTCTGTTGCAGAGGGCACTACACAAAATAATTCGTTTGTGAGATAATGAAAAACTGAGTGTCAAATTTGAAATAAAATAATATTTAAATGACAAAATCATCTTTGTTTGATCAAAATCGGTTCAGAGATGGCTGAAATATAATGATTTCTAATACCTGTGTACCACCACAAATATTAGATATTTTGAACAATTTGAAAAACCTGTTGAAAAAAACGAAATAACGCCTTTTACGTCGTATTTCAGCCAATGCCGATGTTGGCTTTTTTGTTGGCATTTTCGTGTTGCTTGTATTACCCACAATTAGCCGGCTCATGTTTTGTTATTTTTAATTAAATAATTAATTAATGGACACCGTGTTTTTTTTAAAGTGGAGCTGAATTGGTATGATTGTATTGGCTAAAATTCACACATTTTGGGGTCTAAAATTACCTTCATAGCAATTTTTAGGTTCTAAAAGGGCACTATAAATGTCATACTGGGCCTCTCAGAAAAACAGTAATAATACTGAGAGAATTACCCTGTCTAAATAAAACGAATAAATAAATAAATAAATAAAAGATAGATGAGAATAAGAGCAATAGCCATGCACTTTGAAGGCATTTGCGGTCTAAAAACAGAACTCAACTTCCCCTTTAAATGGGAAACCTGCCCCTGCAGGGGACTTGGGAGCAACACCTTTAAATTACCCTAATGTTCCAATAAATCCTATGTTCCTGGTGCAAAGGGGATGGGAGCTAGGTCCCTTAGTGCGAGGCCTCTATTCCCATTGGCTCAGGTGAGCCGACCTCTTCTTTATTTTCTTAGAGTACTTCATTAATTTGTTTTGTTCATTTTTTATTACAGGATTACAGTAAGTTGTCTTGAAATAATAAGTTAAACAATTGATGCACCTTGAGTCAGCTGACTGAGTGACCAAGTTAAAGATAAAGACCAGTTATGGTCATGCGATTGCATTGTGAAAGAAACATTGTGGAATCGATCAAAAAAGGTTGATCATCTAGCATATAAGTATTGGTGTGTACTGCAAAATGATCAGAATTTTGGCCCAGTCTTGGTAAAGTTACAAGCACTGTACACAGAAAGATGTATATGGGACTACGCGACACGTGCCGATATCTATCAGGTCCAAATAGATATACTAATTTACCAAATATATCAATTAGTAGGCGGTTTCTCGGCAAAATTTGTACTTATTTGTACGTATTAGTCAAAACATATTCTTTCACATGATTGGTAATAAGAGCTTCCATTTCATTTTTTGAGAGGGGGGCGTTTCCAAAACTGATCTTTAACTTTAATGACAGTTTCTCCTCTTGCTTTCAGACCGTTTTGACACCACAAATCAGCTTCTACACTACTCTTGGTCAGGAGTGCGTGACGCACGGCTGCAGTGTGGACACCTTCCTCTTTCCCAACTCTTACGTGGATGTGGCCACAGTGGGTCAGGTCTCAACGCTGACCGGAGGACAGTGCTACAAGTACAGCTACTTCCAAGTGAGTTTATGGCAATGTTATGCACAATACTGATGACCCCAAGTCCTTGAACATGCATTGATTTACAGGATTTTGTTTTTTAATGATGGTGTAAACCATTGTCTAAACTTCCACTGGGAATTAAATGATCTTATTTAACTTTTCATCTGCATTTTTGCAAGTTTAAAGTAGCTGAGTGAAGGTTTCAAAAGGCTTTTAACCTTAATAATGTTGGTATCATTGCAAAGTTAATGTTACAATCTTTCTAATGGTTCATATTTAGTTTTCAAAAATTGTTACAGATTTGACAATTATGTGCTTTTAAAAGTGGTGAAATTACTACCCGATTATTCCACCCTTGATCGGCCTGCTATTGTGACGTACGATTTGTGACGTAGGAGGTTGGGCACATGAGCGAGAGTGCGATCCTCAAGCTCTCACACAACTCTCACATGCATGCATTATACATATACAAACGCCACTCGAACGCTAAATATCTGATCAAAATGTCCGAGCTTGAAGAAATTTTATTTGATTTAGAATTTGAAGTTGATGAGCACAGCTCCACAACAGTGGTACAGGCCTTAAATTTCAATATTTTTAGGGCAAGGCCACTTTTCTGTAGGGCACATTCCTATATTACAGCACAAATATGAAGAATGGGAAAGGGCACAACAAATCTCCAAGGCCAATGAGAGGGGCATCCAAGGCCATGGCCTTGGTGGCCTTGGATTAATTTAAGCCCTGGTGGTACTGGTGTGATAGTGATGATGATGATGATGATGGGGATGTAGGAGAGATGGAAGAAAGAGAACAGTTCGGAGAAGACGGCGTCGATGCTGGTGCAGGTCAAGTGATAGCATATCAGCGCGAGCTGGCTGAGCTGCCAGCTGCCGCTCAGCTCCCCCGGCTCCACTCAACTGGCGATCGATCTGTCATGACTGGGCGAGACATTTTCTAATTTTTCGGGATGTGTGGGGCTTTTTGGCAAATTTCACGGATAATAAAACAAAGATGATTAGATGTGAGATTATATTTGGCGAAAATCAATTACAAATATGCACCATTCATAAATAGAACTGCAGCTACAGGACATCATACAAATGCAAAAGGACGCTCACGATTTACTCATCATGGTCTCCTCAGGCCTATATAATCAACAGCAATCACTATCACGCCAAGGCATGATGACCGAACAAATGCAAAACATCTCAGCAAATTACACAGAATGGAAGGGTATTTGGACAAATCGAATTGCACGATTTACCCCTCGTATTATATTACATAAATTTGCTTAATATTATATGTAATTACATGATTTCTAGAGATTGTTATTCCACTTTCTGGTCAGGATATGAAGCATGCAAAGTCTGGATAATGTATACGTATAGCTATGCAAAATACCGCACGCGAGCTGTGCAAGAGGCGAGCTTGAGGCCTAGAATAGCGATCGTACCCAACCAGGGACGTCATAATCGGCCTACTGCGCGAACAAAATGTTCAAGCCAGGAATTGAAGTTCTGAGAAGGTTCTTGGAAAAAGTTTCTTCCCGCGTTTCATTTATATTTACAAGACTTAAGGGCAGAATGTGTGTCTTCATATTGGTCTACGCTATCCGGAAATGTATAATTTGCCCACTTTGAGTGATTATGTGAAATTTCTTCGCCAAGCTACTTTAACCATGGTTTACAAGTAAACTTTTCCATTAATTCTGAATTAAAAGTCGTTAAAAATCATTTGATATGAAGATGCAGAATACATTTTTTTCCTCCAAAGTATCACAATTGATGTCCAAGTGAGATTCATTCCTAGTTTCTCTTTTGCCTCCTGATTCTTTAAGAACCAGGAATTAAGTGGTTGTCAGAGATAAGTGATATGTAAATATGTTTTCAACCATTGTCAAAACAGATATTGATCTTAAAATTCATATTGTCGTTGTGAACAAGTTATTAGAGCGCTTTCGCAAAGATGATGGAAGCAAAGATGAAAGGATAATTCACTCAACCGAGATCGTCCTGTACTATGCTCCCGTCTTCATGTGTAACATGTTTCTGTACCGGGGACAGGGACATTGATGTGTAGTTGTGCACGTGTCAAAAATAGTGTAGATGATTATTAATAGGTCAAAAATTGGATAGTCAAGCACAAAGTATAGTTGATAAATCTGATTATACAATATCTATATCACGATTGCACGATGATACAGCTCTTTCGTTGTGTTTAGGGTACGAACGCTATCATGGCCAAGAATGGTCATGAAAATCAACAAGACAGAGACTCTGGTTTGCACATGTGTTACCGTCGTCTTTACCTTACGTCATGTTTGCGAAAGCGCTCTAATAACATGCAGTTCTCATTAAGAAGTTGGTAAGAAAATGATTACCGTAATTACCGTTGTTTTAACTGCACTTTTTTGCCGTCGAAAAAAATTCAAAGTCAGGGGTGCGTCTTATACACGAGGACGGTTTATACAACGTTAATTACGGTACAAAATACATGTAGGTTTACCATAATCCCAGGAAGGGTATGCAAAAAAATACCTTAACGCAACTACATTCTTTGTCAAACCATTTCTTGTTTTCACCTTATTTTCAACCATAAGATCTTCATCATTAATACTCAATTATGTATATTCCCATTCACATGTCTCCATTTTTATTCCATTGCCAGGCTGCCAATGATGGAGAGCGTTTCATCTGGGACCTGACCCGCAACCTGACCCGCGAGGTCGGCTTTGATGCGGTGCTCAGGGTCCGCACCAGCACCGGCATCAGACCCACAGACTTCTATGGCAACTTCCACATGTCCAACACGACAGACGTGGAGCTCGCATCGATAGACTGCGACAAGGCTGTTACCGTGGAGATCAAACATGATGATAAACTTCAGGAGGAAGTAGGAGCATTTATCCAGGTTGGTGGGACATTTAAACAGATCTTTAAAAGATTTTGGACAGCATGAATAATTCTCTTTGTAAGATGCATCTTTCCGCGTTGATGATAGTCATGCAATACAAAGGAGGCCCCCCCCCCCCCCTCCCCTTCTCCTTCTTTCTCTCTTTCTTCTCCGTCTCTCTCGCTCTCTTTCTCTCTCACTATATCTCTCTTTCTATCTCCCCTTCCTCTCTCTCTTCCTTTCTTGATTTGCACTCCCCCTAGAGAGTATATATATATATATATATATATGTTTACATACCATGCAATGACTCATTGGCTCTCTACGTATTGGATTCATCTTGTTTCTGTACCATGTATCTCTATAGGCTGCTGTGTTATACACGAGCGTGAGTGGTCAGAGAAGGCTACGTGTCATCAACCTGTCACTCAACTGCTGTACCCAGATGGCTGACGTGTACCGCAACTGTGAAACAGACACCATCATCAACTTCCTTGCCAAGTATGGTAAGTGGCTAGTCAGTGGCTTGTTAGTGGCTAGTCAGTGGCTAGTTTCTCAAAGCTGTTGTAAGTCAAAGTTCGTGGACATCCCTCAGAAACATGTGTTATGGAATTTTCTGGACACCATCATAAATCTGAGTTTGTTGTCATCCCATGGATGGTTTGAAGACTCCACTGCGTAATAAAACTTGGTGATAAAGATGTTTAAAAAATATTAATGATTTTCCTCGATACCTTGACATGTTTTGTTAAGCCCTATCCTGTCCAGCTTGAAAAAACATAATAGTGCATTTATTTTTGTAATCAATGATCCAAGTCAGCACTGAATTTTTATGCCAGCCTGTCAAGGGACAGGGGATAATTAACTTGCACTCCGTCAATTTGTCTAGCCCTTGATCATGTTTTACATTTTATGTGCTGTTTAGCACACTTTTCTTGCCCTCCAACGCCCTTGCCCATGAGTAAGTTGATTGGTAATCCTGAGACCATTTCATTGGTTGTTGGACTGTTGATCAGAGGGTCCACGGTTCGAGTCCCGCCACGGCACTAATGTCCTTTGGCAAGATATTAATCTACATTTGCCACTCTCCACCCAGGTGTGAAATGGGTACCGGTAGGAAGGATTCCCTTGAATGCTGTGAGCGCCAAAATCGGCTGTCTAGCAGAGCCGGGGTAATAGTTGGAGCGCCTTGAGCACCATGCAGGGTGGATATGTGCACTACATAAATATCCAATATTATTATTATTAATATTGTTGTGTCTGTTTAATCCATCCAGCTATCCGAGGTGTACTGAACTCCAACCCCAAGGCTATCCGGGATACCATCATCAACAAGTGCGCCAACATCTTGGCTTGCTACCGGAAGAACTGTGCCACGCCCTCATCACATGGGCAGGTAAGCAAGCTAGCAGAGAAACTTTTCTTTCTTCACTATAGAGGTGTCGTGGACGAGTGGATATATCACCGGACTGTGGATCACAAGGTCCGCAGTTTAAGTCCCACCGCGGCACTAATGTCCTTTGGCAAGACATTGATCGTCATTTGCCACTCTCCACACAGGTGTTAAATGGGTACCCGGTAGGATGCGAAAGCTGGATTAGCAAGTGTGCACTTGTCAAAATGATGCCTGGCTGGAATGCTCCCCAGGGAGTGGAGAATGTGCATACATTGTGTGTGGGTAAGCCTGAAACCGATGACCAGGGTAATAATATGATTGCAGGGCCCTCAGGGAGAACAGTATAAATACTGATGAGGCTACCCCGGGTAAACAAGACATATTATTATTATTATTATTATCCTTTGTGGTTTGGAGATCATCATAATGCAAGAGGTATGTGTGTGCAGTCGTTCTTTCTCTGGTAACATGAACATCACCACCACTGATAGAAGCTTTCTATAATGATTAAAATGTGTCATTATTAAAACTGTATTTTGTTTCTTTCACATGCTGTACAGCTAATCTTACCCGAGTGTATGAAAGTACTCCCTCTTTATGTCAACTGTGTGTTGAAGAGTGATGCATTCTCCGGTACGACCGACATCACCACCGACGATAGGAGTTGGTTGATGCAGACGGTTCTATCCATGGATGTCGTCTCAACTCATGCATACTTCTATCCTAGACTACTACCAGTTGTAAGTATATAGGCCTGATAATTACCCCATTTAAATCGTTTTCCCGATTATTATTATTATTTTATTTTTTCCCCAATTTATTTTTTCTTCCCGATTTTCCCTTATTTATCGCATTTTTCCATATTTTTCCCCAATTTTTTTTAGAATTGGGAAATGTTGTTGGATGCCAATTTTTGTTACCCAAATCTTTTTGGTTGTTTTTATACCCGAGGGGGGGGGGGTGGTTGAGGGGAAAAAATTGTTTTAGTGCTCATTATAAGATGATGATGTGGATCCTAATCAAAAGATTGGTTGAAAGCGTACACGTGACCAGGCATTTATTTTGCCTAACGCGTAAACGCGTGTAATTTGGGTAATGTCCGGTCATTATGCAATGGTAATGACCGGTAATTATCAAAATCATGTTAGAAAACATCATTTTATTAAACAAATAAAACATAATCTTATCAAAACAAATAATACACATCATTTTGTTTGGGCATTAGTAAAAGTACCCACACTTGGTACCTTCAAAACAATCCAAGACTGTTCCAAAGGTACCTTCTGTGGGTAATTCTTACTAATGCCCTCACTGATGTGTATTATTTGTATACTATCACCCCTGATGAAAACAGCAACTAGTGGTATGTTGGAACTCTTAAAACAACAGCATGAACTTGCATCCATTAATCTAGTTTTCTTTCACCCTCTTTGTGAACAGCATGACATAGATGTCAACAGTGAGGACACCCCCGCGGCAGTGCGATGCTCCATCGAACGATTCGAAGACCAGGGGGTCTACATCCTTGAAAACGGCCTCATGCTCTTCATGTGGATTGGTTTACATGTGAATAACGACTGGGTGCAAAATGTGTTTGGCGTCAACTCCCCCGCTCAAATTAACATTGAATCGCATCAACTGTTAGAGAGAGATAACCCAACATCGAAACGACTGAGGAATTTGGTCGACGTGCTGCGCTCAGAGAGACCCAGATACATGAAGGTGAGTTGCATTCTTCTCTTGAGGATTTGTTGTTGTTGAGCGCGGCATTCACAACTGCCGCGCTAATGCAAACAGGGAAACGTCCATACGGCAGACAACGCCAACTCTGCCATCGCTCAACACTTGCTGAACAACCAAGATTGCACTGAACAATACTGTTCATCTTGGTTCAAAGTTCTCTGCCGAGCGAGAAACTTTACTCATCTGCCCATGCTTGAAGTAACACACATTCAGTTGACCGACCCTCTTCTATGCAGACAGAAAGAGTTTGTTCAGACGCTCGTATTATTTTAGCGCTTATCCCGGTATAACCGGCTGGTATTAACCCTAATAAGGCCGGGGGGGGGGGGGCATTATGGGCCCCCTCCACGATTTTTCTGATTGCTCAGGAACGCGTATGGATGGCGCCTCGCCGCTCGCTGACTTTTTTTTTTTAGTCTTGCGCAACTTTTAAAAGAATTTTTTTGAAAAATCGGACCTACGGTTACAAGGTCACGTGACGCCCGAAAATCGCTAATTTTTGTGATTTGTGTACAAAACATATGGAAAAGTCATTTTTCCTAAAAACAGATCAAACATGGGTTATTGGGTCTTGTTTGAAGTTTAGGTGGTTGTTTTGGGAGTCAAAATAGTTGAATTGTAGTAAGAAATGAAATAAAACAACAAAAACAATGAAATACATAAGTTAAAAAAAACAATGAAATACATAAGAAATTATCAAAACAAGGGATAACATAAGGAATAAGCTGGCTCTTCCAAATTTTGTTGTCGTATTATTATTCAGAATGGTCTTATGAATATATGTAGTGAAAAATAATGCTTAAATATGAATAATATATGATTTATGGTTAAAAATGTGATTCATATGACTTTATTTGCATAAATTACCATAAATATGCAAATGAGTGAATTTTTCAAAAAATTGAAATTATCATAATATTCTATACACTTCACTTGACATGCGTGCAAATTTTCTGTGGCTATTGGCCGCTTTGCGGCCGAGATCTTAAGGGGGGGCCATGATGGCCTCCCCCCCCCCCCTCCCCCCCTCCCCCCCCCCCTCCCCCCGGCCATACTAAGACCTCAAATAGCCCTGCCTTTTTAGGGTTAAGCCTAATTTACTGTTACCTTATTTGTGAAAAATTCTTTGCCAAGTGAATTACAATAATAAGATTTTTGCTATTCATGGAAGTTTTCAATACCATGAAATTACCATGAAAATAAAAGTTTGAAATGGCTTTACACTATGTGACTGTACACAGTGATGATTAGAAATACAGATTCCATAACCTTTGACCTTTGACCCTCCTCTTGCAGCTGACCCTGGTGAGACAGAGGGACACCCTGGAGCCGTGGTTCAAGCACTTCTTGATGGAGGACAAGGGTTCAAACGCCTCGGCGTCCTACGTAGACTTCCTGGTCCATATGCACCGAGAGATCCGTAGTATCCTCAGCTGAGAATGAGAATGAAGTCCTTGAGCGATATCCTCATATAAACATTAATGTAGTGTAGATCCAATGTGTGAGATCCTGAGCTGCCATCATGTTTAGGAACGACTATCTTTGACCTATTCAGTAGGTTTGCACCATATAAGAGAGAGGAAGGATTGAGGAGTCCTGAAAAGGACTCTCGGTAATCTTTCTTGAGGATGTGTAGTCCTGAAAAGGACTGTTGGTGTAGTCTTTGACTTGGTTTTGGACTGAATTATGTAATGTACATTAATGTAGTCTGGGTCTGGTATGTGAGATCTGGAATTGCCATCTAAATCTGCTATTTTGAACTTGGACTTGGTCTTCTTTGACCAAGTGATATCCAAATATTTGAATGCTAATAGCACAGTGTAGATACAGCGTGTGAGATCCTGAAATGCCATCAAGAGCCGCTGTTTTGGATCAAGTGATATCGTTGTAAGAACATAAGCATGGTGTAAAACTTGTCTTTGAGATTCAGAAGTGCAGAAGGTCTTCATCTGAACACTGGCAGATTGGAATCTCAGGATAACTTACGCCCTCTTTGACTGTGTATCTTGATTCCATTCATTTAGGGGTCTCAATCTTGGACTAGGTCTCGTCTAAATTACCGTGTACGTAGAGAAGATTGTGTTGCATAAGTATGTTGCATAACGAAGTTGTAATCTATCAATACATAAATGGTCTAGATTTCACACTACTACTAGAGAATGATAAACTAGGCAGTTGGTAGGAATTCCTTTGTAGGTTTCACAAATCTCTCTATTCACGTAGGCTACAGTGTTGCACATAAACAGGTTTCTGAAACCTGTAGTGAAGTCTGAAATAATAATAATAGCTAGTTCTTATACAGCGCTTTTCAGGACCGAAGCCCCTCTCAAAGCGCTTTACATATACATGTATATTTATTATTACTCCGGTCATTGGATTCAGGCTCATCCGGACCACAATGTATGCACATTCTCCTCTCCCTGGGTGAGCATTCCAGCCCGGCGTCATTTTTACAAGTGCACACTTGCTAATCTAAGCACATTAGCTTTCGCATCCTACCGGGTACCCAATTAACACCTGGGTGGAGAGTGGCAAATGTAGATCAATGTCTTGCCAAAGGACTTGAACCGCTGAAATTTTGATCCACAGTCCGGTGACATATCCACTCGTCCACGACACCTCTGAAAGAAAGATCTTTGTGGGTCTGTGAAAATTTAGATTTAGCCTAAGCAAACTTAATTTCAACAGGTAGCAGGCGTCTGGGGGTGTTTCACAGAACTTATCATCAGTGACAAATGACAGTTGTTGTGATAAGCTACTGAAATCGCTGCTTCTGATAGGTTATCAGCAGATTTGTCACTGATTTTTGTCATTTGTCATCGAAAAAAGGCTTTGTGAAACGGGTCCCTGAATAACAGCTCAGTCATGCCAAAGGGCAGTTAGAACACTTGTAGAGGTGTCAAGGTCAGTGGATCTCATGGTTTGCAGGTTTGCGCCTTGGCACTAATGTCCTTTGGCAAGACATTAATTTACATCTGTCACTCTCCACCCAGGTGTTGGTTAAATGGGTACCCGGTAGGATGCGAAATTAATGTGTTTGGATTGGAATGTGGAATAAGGCTGTGCATAACCGTGTAATGAGGTACTTGAGTACACTCCCAGGCTCACAGGCGAATACTCGGACGCCATGTGTTTTTTTTGGGCTGCCATTTTTTGTTGTTTTTGTATTAATGAAAAGTGAACGTGACCAGAATAATAATGCCAGTGGTAATAATAATAACAATATAAAGCGCTTAAAAACGTAGGATTAACCACTACAAAAATGTGACTTATTATTAACGTTTTGGCGCTTTGAAGTTAACCAGACTGCCTAACTAACTAGAAATTGCTGTATCTTCATGAAGCGATAGACGTTCTTGAGTTTCTGGTCACAAGATAGCATGTTATTTGGATTTATATCTGTTTTCAACCATGTGTATTTTCAAGAGGTGTGTTATCATTTTTGCTAGCTGTCTAAAGATATTGTTCATGTGATGTAAGATGTGGAAAGCATGTCGTGGTATATGCTTTGATCCTGCTTTTTAAAGCTAGCCATACATGTAAATGGCTAAACCAATGAAACTTCTTTTATTTTTCTTTTGTTTATACCATTTGCTCAAGTTTCTTAATGAAGATGTTTATGCTTTTTTGTGTGTGTTACAAGTGTTCTAAACTCAGTACACTCAGTGCAGCTTGTCTATCATAGGTATCTGTATGAAACGACTGGAGTGGAGATGTTGCACACATTGTGTGCACATCCTATCGTACAGGATTAATTTGGTAGCAATATCATCTGGGTGAAACATCATAATTGATAGGGAATTTACACTAGAATATACCAGAAAAAGTTGTTTTTTTAAGTGTAAGAAATTTCACTGAAACTGAGAATCTATCAGTAATTCAGAATTACAGCCCAAATTGCAATGTGATTTTGTTACCACCCATGGACGATTGCCCTTACGTTCATTAAATGCTACTCTCATGCTGTTATTAACGATTGTTGCTCAAAAATGTTAACAGTACATGTTGTAATTGAAACATCTCTAATATTTCTCGAGTTATTTTTGTGTATTACTATTGAGGCTCCCCTCTAATAATAATGCATTTACAGAGAGCACATCTATAGGAAAATGGGTTATTATTATGGAAGGGGGGAACACTGGTAGATAAAGATCGTCTTATGCCACAAAAGGAGGAGAATGATTCATTTGATATTGCATTGTGTTTATGTAAAATGGTAAAATAGATTATTTCATTTAAATTGTTTGTGTTCGAAATAAGAAATTATTGTAAAAAAAAGGAGATAAATATATCAAGTGGTATGTGTAGGTTATGTGGAACACTTATTTAGACACCTATTTTTTACTCTTCCTATTTCGCTTCTATACTATCCAATCACTACAAGGCATAATGAATTCATGATATTGAATTATATCACAATATTTACATTATTTTGTAGCATAGAATGATTATTTGAAAGATATCAATTACATGTACAACCATATGTAAAAAGAATAAATTGCTGGTATTTCAAATACAAACAAAATTTTGTGTGTGTATGAATCTTATCGTTGTTCAATGGATGGATGAATAGTATAGTTCTGTTATTTCTTGCATAGTCTTCTCTTCTCCTTCAGTCGCTCTCTCTGGCATTTTCCCAGTTTTCTAATTGCCCATGGACATTAGTCATCAACTAATTAGATTAGGCTACAATAGTACATCAGACCTGCCAACCTCTGGAGTTCAAAAACTGTATTCTTTAATCCCAAAAGTTGTATTTTGCTGACAAAAGTTGTATTCTTAAAAATAAACACAGACTGTTACGCAGATCAATGCCTCTTACAGTTCCTACATACAGGAAGAATTTTTTTTATGGATCATTGGTTGAATATATGCATGATTTTGTCACGACTGGTGTGTTCGATGAACCAATGAACATCCCCAAATTGCCAATGTGAGATGCTTTATAGGACAAAATGGGCATTTTGCCATTGAAAATGGCACACACACATACAAAATACCAACAACAACAAAATTATTTGAAAAAAAAAAAAAAGAAGGAAAATCGTACTGTCGTATTTGCTTCTAAAAATCGTACTAAGTACGACTAAATCGTACTGGTTGGCAGGTCTGGTACATATGTGTAGTTGACACTAGGGCCAAGTAAATAGGACCCTTTTCTCTCTACTTCAAAATTTCTCAGATACCCCTCCCTCTGTTATGGCTCTTAAGTTACTTGCTTTTCATTCCCCACTCTCTCTCTCTCTCTCTCTTACTCACACACTCTCTCTCTCTGGGTTTTTGTTCTTCCTTTTTTTCCCTCCTTCCTTCTATCACTCACTCTATGTGTTATCTATTCGAAAAAGAACACAATAAATCAAACACAAGTCACACCTATCTTGCTAATCTACATGTAGATATAATAATTCATTGGGATACATTTTCTCCTTTCAACCGAGCATACAATTTCAGTACTTGATACAAACGAAGAACATAGAAAAACCTCTTGTGTTGATCAAAACAGACAATTACAAGGCAAAAACATTCTTTTTGTTTCACTGTTGGCAAATCCTCACACCTCATGATCATAATTATTGGCTAGCGTTGAACTACTACATCACATGGTCAGAGTTCAAATTAGATCGGAAATGAGACATCAATAGACATGCACTTGAGAGCAAATTGATAATAGATAATTGATAATATAAACCACTTGTGTCAAAGTGCTTTCAATCTGTTTCTAATTTTACCAATATTTCTTTGCAATCCTTGAACACACCATTTCATGCATGTACTTCATACTGGTGCCATGATTACAAGGACACAAATAATTATAATGACAATGAAGTCCCTTGTGTAGAAATTCATTGTACAGTGATTGTCTTACAGTGAGTTGTATTCATAACCACTCTGCATTTTTGCTACTAATGGCTTTCAATGGTTTTCATTTCAATTTTGTCTTTGAAGGATCAGGGTGGATCATGAAAGTCTGGTAAATAAAAACCAAGTTATTAGAAGGATGTTGATGCATAGTCGTCTTACCGGTATTCAGTACAGACGTGTACAAATATTGGAACCACTCAGTACATGTAGTATACCAGTATATAATGTATGAACACCTTACAATACAGTACTATCATATATTATGAGAAGGAATTAAAGCCACAAGGTACAATAGAATCTCTGAAATCTAAACATCTTTCATGATAATGAGTCGTAAAGTATAAAATTATTGGTAGTGAAAAACTATACTATTTCCTTAATTGAAAACTTGAATTGCCGATCTGTGCCTGCATGCATCATCCTGTTTCAAATGAACTAAATTCAACATGGCATTCTATGCCTTGCCCTAAAGATACCTGACTTTGCAACACGTTTTTCTGCATATTGCTTGTGAATCTATTCACCATCGTCTTTCTATCATGGTACCTTCTCCTGGCTCAGAGGTAAAACATTTATCAATACATCTCTTTTCTTGGCAATTCATTCTAGTGCAATCTTGTCGTACTATATCATAACTCCAGGAAGCGCTCCGACACCGGCAGTGTCGGAGCTTCCTGGAGGCGGTGTCGGAGCTTCCTGGAGTTAATTATATCACTGCAGGTCTTAATGTTCTCTTCCGAATTGTTTGACCAATAGTTGAGGCACATTTTGTCTTATGATTGCTACAGTAACTGTAATGCCATAGACAGTAAGTACAGCCAGCATAATGCAGGGCTGGGGGTTGTTTCACAAAGATCCTAAGCTGAACTTATCTCTAAGTTGGACTTAACAATTATGGAAAGCCTTCAGCATCTTTGAAAACATTTTGTAAAAGTTATTTCAAAAGGCATAAAATGTTGATTCAATTCATTCATATTTTATAATATCAAGGAAAATTCATGTTCCTGATGTAGAATTTATGAAAGTCTAAAATACTTGAGTTTTTGCTTTTGAATGTATTTTATCCTAAAGCTACAAATGGCACTCCATAATTTGTAAGTCCAATTTAGAGTTAAGTTTGACTTAGGATCTTTGTGAAAAACACCCCCCCTGGTGTCACATGATACCAGCTTCTGAAAGCCAAAAAGGCGTAACTCGGTATAAAGGTGTATGATAAAGGTCCTTCTTGTGCTCAAAATACAAAAAACATTTGATCAGACTCTTTCCCTTAATTCACATAAATTACACCATGACATTTATATACAATTATCTTTTTCTTATTGCTACATCTTTGTCTAGCTGCGTATATGACCATGCTCTGCATGCATTAATAAATATAAAAATAAATCAAGACTATTAGTTGATCCATCTACTCTAAGAATCTAAAAGACAAGCAATGTCAGCATGATACTATTTTGATCAAACTTTTTTATAAAACCATTTCATCATTGTCTCCAAATTACTTAAAAGCTTTGTAAAACTACTGCTGATGTATGTGAAACAAACGTGTAGCTTATTCAGTTGCATCCTCAAAATGACTTCCATATATGTTCCGTAGGAATGTAAGAACTTTCCACCTTATTGTTCATTTGGTCACATGACATGCCTTGGAATATAAAGCAGCAAGTGTAATTTCATAATTTGGGGGTAATACATATTTGGTCATTTGTTCTCACATGTAATATGAAAAGTAATAAATAGATTTAAAATTTCTTCACAATTACATTGATAATTTCATTATATTTTAGCAAATTGTAAATGATATCCTATTAAAGAATGTTAAATCGTATTACAGTACTAGAAATGTATGCATATATCTGTATGGAATAAAATCTTATGAAATGCTAATATATAGGTAGCGAGTCTGCACAGAGCAATTAGAATTCTTTCTAATTCTGGCAATTTTTCTTTTAAAAATTTTAATTTAGAAGGAATGATAAATGACTCAGATTGAATTCATTATAATCAATATAACATATTGCAATACATTTTTAAAATATATTATTTTCACTTTACTGGAAGCTGTAAGATCTTGGTATAAAACTTTATATCATTTGACCTTCTCTGCTGCCTTAGAAATATAGGCGTTGAATCATTTCTGTTTGTCTTCTGGTGTGTATTGATAATAGCAGGGATTTTTTTCTTCTTATAATTACAGATGATTTGTTGAGATGATGAAATCTTTAGTGGACAATTTTACTTCTTATTCCACTGGTAAGAGTTTGCTGCTCCTGCACCAGATCCTGCTCTGAAGCCTAAAGGGTGAGAGAAAAAAAACGGAATGGGGTCAGCGAAAGACTTATGAATATTCAATACATAAATCCACATTCACATTCACTGTAACAGTACACCAGACATTGGCTTTTTTTTTATTTGCACATTTGCCAGTTCTTTTGCCATTTAAATAAAAACAAAATCAGTTAGCAGACAATATTGTTTGTATTCTCAAACATTGAGTGTCAATTTTGTTTGCGTCATGAGAACTCATTTCTATCATTACCTGAACTTGTGTCAATCATAATCATTTTCTTCATACTGCAGTGGAGCAAAATATAAAAACCTACCCGTACATGTATATAAACCCTTTAAAAATCTCAATATGCATTGTGTTTTTTACGATTGGGAATTTTTCTTTTTTAATTGTAGAAACCGACAATCAATCAATCGTCTAGACTTGGTAATGCTTCATGCACATTACAATAACAGTTTGTGATGCCATGGGTGTACACTATAGCAAGAGTTTACGACTAAAGATGCAACATTTTCTTAATGTTCAATAAATCTCAAGTGATATATGCATTGTTCTCAGTGGTTCTCTGACGGAGGGAGGGGGGACACATTCCCCTTTTACCACTATTCTGCCAATGAACAAGTGTGTCAAAAAGTGCTGACAAGAAAGTCGGAATCTCACTTTTTTTACAAATTTGTGCATATATCTTATCTTCTGTGTATTTTAAGTTAGTCAGAATGGAGGGGGGGGGCATTCCCGTTACCCCTGGATCAGCCAATGAAGAGATTGGCCCACGCTGAACATACCAGATTTAATAAGTGCAGAAGTTTATCCAAATAAAAAATAATAATCTATGCATCTAGGAGACCTTTGCTCATTGCAGTAAAGTCATTTTTAAAGGGGACTATAAGTAAAACACCAACAAATATTTTGGGTTCCATGAAAATATAAAATATCAGGGGTGATAGTGAGCACTAAAAAAAAACCCACCTTTTCCTTGAATAAAAAAAACTGGCATCTATTATTCCCCCTCCCCTTTTGAGTGAGAAATTTGGAAAAAATAGGGTAAAATCTGGGAAATAAGGGAAAAATCGGGAAGAAAAACAAAAATCTGGAAAAAAAATTAAAATCAGGTAACTATCAGGCCTGAATATTCAAAATATCAGCTTCAAATACTGCTTCTGTAGCAAGAAAGAGTTTCATTGCACTGTAAATGAAAAAAGTGAATTGCGAGTCTAGTTGACTCATGCATGTGGAACTGAAGTCTGACTTACATTATGTAGCACACAGGTTTTCATGTTCTCCTTTATTTTCTTCACACTCACCATGATTTAACCTTTTTTTTTTTTTTTTTTTTTTGGGGGGGGGGGGGGGGGGGGTTCTCATTTTAGACATTTATGGCTATAACCCACGAGACCTCAAAACGGTTGTCAGAAGGTACATGAGACTGACAGGCAATGTCACCATCATGTTAGTTCAATGGAAATATTTTTTTGTCTGTCTTAAGTGCTGTAGGTCTACTGCAATTTCCCTTGAAACATGCCAGCTGTAATTAGTATTATTTTTTTTTATTTTTATTTTTATTTTTTTTTTGATTTTTTTTTTTTTGATACCGCTTTGATGTTTTGATGTAAACATTTATTCTTTTTTTTTTCTTCTTCTCCCATTTGCTATGTTTCCTTTATATATATAAATATATGTTTTTTAATGCTTTTTTAATATGATTGTATGTTTGATGTAAACTTGCATTTTTAGTCTTTGGACTTTTTGACAAGTCATAAATAAAACCTCATTTGAATCTTGAATCTTGAAGCTGTATAATAACTATTTATTGGTGATTGGTATGCGCTTTAAAGATGTCTGGGAAGTAAATTGATAGCTCGGGCGTGGTTCAAGTGCCCTTCTATAAGTCAACAACCAATATTATTGGCTTTATTTGCAGCCAGTAGAAAAGAGTACATAACAATGATATTGACTTAATAGAGGAAGGCAGATAAGCAGATAACAGTGAAGAAAAGGAAATATAAGAGATATACTGGAGAGAAAGACAGAAAGAGACAGAGAATGAAAGAGATACAAATATTAGGAAATGTGAATAGAAGCATATAAAGGGAAAGATAGGGAGAGGGGGTGTGAAAGGGGGAGCATTGGGACAGAGCATGAGACAAAATGAAAGACAAGGGTGCGAATGTTAGAAAAACAAACAGAAAAGAAGTAGACCCTGCACAAAGAAGGTAAAGTGAGAGAGTGGGACAGAGAGAGAACCAGAGAGATGGAAATAGAGGGGGGTGAGAAAACAGGTGAATGTGCGCTTGCGTATGTGACTGTGTGTGTGTGTGTGTGTGTGTGAGAGAGAGAGAGAGAGAGAGAGAGAGAGAGATGTACAGACAGTCAGACAGAGAAGAGGAAATAATTCACTTTAAATTTAAATTTTAAAAACTTTTAAGAAAAACAAATCTGAAAGAGAGGCATGAACTAGTTTGAGAGGGTAGGATACCGGTAGACAATTAAGAAGCGAAAGATATATTAACCATAAAGTCTGTATTTCTAGCACTAAAACATACCTGCTTGACCAAAGTTCTTCCCGTAGCATGGGTTGCAATAAGGCTGGCCTTCTTTCTGTAAGGGGTATACAGAGACAGGGAGAGAAGGTTAACAAGAAAATCATTTTCAAATACAAATAAAGATGCTTGTTAATGACTCTTGATATAATCAAAGATAAGAGACAGAGAGAGAGAGAGAGAGAGAGAGAGAAGAGGGGAGAATGATAAACAACAGGGGCAGAGGGAGAGAGGGGAGAGAGAGGGAGAGAGAGAAAGAGAGAGAGAGATACTTGGTACTTGGTAGGATTCATCCAAAAGACGCCGTAAAGGTGTTTAAACTGGAGGTGTGTCGTCATGTGCGGCCACCAACTTAAGGTGCTGGTTTTAAGTTGGTTTTAAGTGCAGATTTCAAAGTATTTAAGGAAGGTTGGGCTACAATTGAGGGAGAAAGACTGTTCCAGTCCTTAACTGTCCTTGGGAAGAATGAATAAGCCTATGCGTCCATTCTGACTTTGTTGATATAGAATTGTTGGTCATGGCCCCGTCTTGTTCGTCTTGTTCGATAGGAACAGTGATAGGAAGAGAGAGAGAGAGCGAAAGAACACTGACATAATGCACAGGCATTTAGTATTTATTATTTTGTGCAATTCAGCAACATAATATCCCTATTGATTCTGCAATTCTTAGCCATGAGGACTGAGAAACTTTCAATATCAATGCTAGAACAAACATCTACATATATCTAATCTAGACTTAGAGAAGCTTTTATTAAATCACAGTATTTTCATTGGCTATCACAATTTATCAGCAAAGAATTGACTGTACATAATAACAATTCTATCTCAATATTTTCTTTTCTCGATGATTGTGGGCTGGACTCTCAGGAAGTCCACCCATCCGCAGTTTTGAAGTGGGACGGCAAACCCTTTTCAATTATTTCCTGTTGACCTACTTATCTCACTCAATATCACTTTCCCAACATCGATATATATCTTCAGCGATGCCAACCTCTTGACACAAAAAATATCCTAAAAATCAGATTTTGGAGAGAAAAATCAGATTTTGGAGAGAAAAATCAGATTTTGGAGAGAAAAATCAGATTTTCACGAAAACTCGACACTATCACACTGGGCCAGTAAAATTTCAGGAAAATGTTATACTGGTAAGAGCGGTCAAGTAAAATATTTGCTCTATCATACAAATTTAATGAGAGAATTGTAAAGCAAAGTTTTTGTTGGGGTTGCGGGGGTATACTTGTACATGTTTCTATGCGATTCCGCGGTTTTTATGGGTTTAATGGGCTTTTTTTATGAAAAATCGTATTTGAAGAGGTGATATCGTATTGTCCTATTTCACTCTTTTTATCGTATTAAATATGATTTAATCATACTGGTTGGCATCTCTGTATCTTGATGGTAAAAGAAATCGCAATCATTGAACATTATTTATCTCCCCTACTAGTCTGCTCACAAGCAAGCTAGTAATACTGAATTCTAAAGTACCAACCTCAGAGCACTTCTTTTTTTACCCCCATTATTTCCTATGAACCCGATTCCTAGGGTCAGATAGACATATTCTGTCTGAATCAAATTTGATCGCCAAAATTCAAAATCAACTTTAATACGATGACCCAAATTATATTATAATTATACCCTAAACACAATTCATTTACAGTACCAAATCCTTACTGCACCTCCTCATATCGCTCCATAGCACTGCCATACGCAGACTGGATTGAATTTAAGCATTTCAAGGCTAAAATGCACAATGCTGACCAGTATACAATGCTGAAAGGTGATGACAGCTGTTGATTTTCAAAACAAATCTAATCCTTGATGATGAGTCATTTATCCCATGATGCTTGAGTCCTTTAGCACAATACTCAATAATATATATTTGTTAGATAGTCCTTCGATAGTGTATCTCTTTTGTCACCCAACATTTGTTTGATAAGTATATATACCCTTCAGAGACAGTTGTCCTGTAAAGGGTAACTGACCCACATCTTTATACAGCAACAGTAAGCCATCACAATCAGACATCAGGGGAGTGTTTCACAAAGAATAACATCGACTTTAAGTTGGACTTAACTATGGCAGGCCGTTCATGCCACTAAATGCTCTCACCAGTGGTCTCTCAATTATGATCTTTAGATGATATTTATTCTTACAATAATGAACTATCAAATAATGTAAATTCTGGATTTGTGACCACGATTGGTACGTCCCTTGAAAAACCAATGCCAGTAAATGATGAGAGAAAATAGTGGCATGAACGATCTGCCATAGTTAAGCCCAACTTAAAGTCAATCTTAAGCCTTGGTCACAAATGCCATAACGAACTGCTACGAATGCCGTACGAATGATTTTTAGACCATGGAAAACAGGGAGATTCGTACAAACTTATTGTTCGTACGAACCTTTGTGACCGTAGCTTTAGTCTTTGTGAAACATTCCCCAGGTAGCTTATTAGTATACTTACATCTGAAAAGTTTCCTGGTGTTAATGTCTTGTTGCAAGCCGTGTTGGCGCATTTAAGGCAGGTCTTATGCCATGATTTGCCCAGAGCCTTTGCCTCCTCCACTGTAAGATAAAGAAAGGATACAAAAAAAGGAGAAACTGTTTATTACTCTGTGACAATAGAGCCGTCCAAACAGGAAGAGTCTCAATATACTAAAGCTCTTTTGTTTTAGATACAAATGTCTCATAAGGCCTGTCTTCACTAGCTCGAGAGTGCCAAATATCCCGCTATTTGAACTTTCCCGATCGCAAACTATCCAGCTAATTTGTGTCTTCATCAGCCCGAAGTTGCAATTAGCGGGATATTTGGTCAGGATTGTCATCCCAAGATATCTTGGGATAGTTTGCAAAATATCCAGCTGATTGTCCGGTGCGTCTTCACCAGACAGAAGACTCGCACTATGCGCGAATGCTGAGCAAAATATCTCGAGCTAATTCTCAAGGTCGAGTTTCAAGTTTCGAGGTCGAATCTCGAGCTGATGAAGACGCGATTTGTTACTTCAGGATTATTTCCCAAATCAGAAATATTTGGCAATCTCGAGATGATGAAGACGCGCCTATACTGTAGGGGTAATGTCTCATCTTAACTAACTAATTTGCAATCGTAATTTGGGAGAGTTGAAATAGCAGGTTATTTAGCCAACTCGAGCTGATGAAAACAGGCCTTTTTTTCTTCTCCTAGCTTTGACTCAAGTACCAAACCATGGAACGGGATAATCCTGGAACCACACAGGATCGGAGTCCTAATTTACCTACACTGAATTGGATCTGAAATAAAATCCTATTGACTGATATGAGTCATGCTTGACTGGAAATAATCCACACTAAATTGGTTTACTTCAAGCTATTGCTTCAATAGTGAATTCTGCAACAGTTAAAATTCAAGTAAAATGTTTCCTATAAAATGACTGCTATACTTTACTACATGTAAGAGATAGCAGGAAATGTGTAGACTTCAAGCTATGATAGAATCACACTTTTATCAAGTTATATAACAATTTATCTCCTTCTTTTTCCTCATTGTCATATTCATACTGAAAATATGAATAATAGAAACATTGCTAATAATAACAACAACAACAATAACAATGACAATTTAATTACAACGACAATGACAAAGTCACAATTTTTACTTCATATATTGAGCACACCCTCGATACATTACTGACACTGACAGCTCAAAGCGGCTATCCTACATGTGCATACATGTATGTACAACCACTGTGTATGCTCTGTAGATGTAAATGAAATGATATTTTGGGGGGGGGGGGGGTCATTTGTAATCAAGGAGCTTTGGTAATCTCATTTCTATGGATTATCAATCAAGCATCTCAGCTGTCCTTCAAGCATAGCCTCTCAGAAGCTAGTAGCCTACCCATGCTCAGACTATGGGTGTGTTTATCATACCTTTTCTAGCCTAGAATCAAAGTTTTCAAATGTGTTTCAGGCAAATTGGTGATGGTGGTAAACGCAAACCTGTTTTCAAATGTGTATATTGAAACGCCCCCAAAAAGTGAGTTTTGAATGTGAGAATGAGCCAGAATCACGTTTCTGAGAGATGATCGATAGACGCAAAGCTGTTTTGAAACGCACATACATATCGGACCTTCTTAGGCTAACTTCCGGTTCAGAGAAATTGTGCGCGCCATGTGCAGTGCCCTAGTTGACCTCCGAGCAACTCTCTGCTTCCCGGGTCAAATGGCGCAAAGCAGTTGCGCAGAGACAAGGCCTTTATTTTGAATCGTGACGAGTTGATAAACGCGACATCCCGCAAATCACGTTCGTATAGTGGGGTTCGATATGTAAGTATGTTTCTGAGTGGCAGAAGATGATAAACGCACCCTATCTCTAACAAGCAAAGAAAGGTCTTGCAGGCTGTATGACCTCACCCCCTTCCTCTCCCGAAAAGAAAATAAACCTAAAAACAGATATATAAGAAAGTTTTGAATATAAAAGCCTTTGCAAGGCAATCATAAATGTTCATTTACGCTGTGAGATTCTTTTTTGCTTAGAAATCAATCAGAACTAGGCCATTTGGTGGAAGGGTGTCACAATCTGTTCTCAATGATTGTGTGTATTTTTAATTTTAAAGTATAGAAGTACATGCCCTTCTGGCTCTATAGCTCCACAGAAAATGTAGTGAATGAAATATCTAGAGCATTATAGTTTATAAGTATGCCAAGATTCTCTTTCATATTGTTCTGATCATTAAAACACTCTTTCACTATCGATCCGACCCACTTATAACATATAGTAATGATACAACAATAGATGCAGTCATTTGATACGGTTCGGTATTTCAAATATTTAGAGTGCGTTCACTAGACACTTTTTCACTCTAGAATCACGGTTTTCAAAGAGGTTTAGTTTAAAACAGGGTTGCGTTCAAGCAATTTTTTGGAGGCCGTAAAAATAAACGTGTTTAAAAAACAAAAATGAAACGCTGAAAAAGATGCGTTTTGTATCACGCTAAAATTCGCTCAAACGAACAGAGATCTCAATCATGACTCTATGACGTCATTATCATGGCCTGTTCCGTTTTGACCATGGTTTGACCGACAGTCGCCCAGAAACACAGACAGAAAGCATGCAGCGAAGTTGACCTATACTTCCCGGGTCAAACTGAACAATGAGATGAGCAGTGGCTGGGCTTGAAATGAGCAAGAATCAGCGTTAATAAAAAAATCGCTTGAACGCTCTCCCGCAGCAGTAACCATGTTTTTTAATGGTGTTTTTGATTTGTGATTCATGTTTGTGATTCTAGCTTCAAAAAATTGCTTGAACGCACCCTTAGTTTGCTCAAAATGAGCTGAACATTTGCTACAACAGCTGTAGGCCTCAGTGTTCAGAGCACAACATCTGGTGCCAGTAGTTTTGCAAATATATATACATGTATGTAATGCTGCCATACACATTCTGTTTATGACAAAGCAAAACTGGTCGTACAGAGTAGTGATCATCACTGAATCCAATATAGTTTGTTTGTTTGTTTGTTTTTATTTCTGCGTTTTCAAAATATAACATAATCATGTACATAAAGTAACAATTATTTCATCACTTTACATAATTATAATTTTTTAAGTACATTAAATAAGATGCATACAAACACAAATATTTGAAAAAATGAAAAAAGATAAATTACAGAAAACACAGGAGACCGCCATCATGAGCGGTAAGCTTGAAATCGATGGCGGCCTCCGATCATACAAAGTCTAGCTCCAATCTATTTCAAAGGGGATTATTGAAATATTATAGTGAAATATATAATAAAATATTATCTTGTTTGAAGAGTTCATACATTTGTAAATCTGACATGAAGTACTTACAAATATATATATATTTGAAAGTAAAAAGGAAATACATTAGATTCGCGGTTAGGGCACAAATGTGATTTCTTTACTTTCTGACGGTAAATTTTTTCACTTTATGCATTAGAAGAAAACTCTACAATTTTCAATTTGAGAGACATACTGCAGAGTGTTTGTGATTTATTGACTATTTTGATGTTACAAAAACTCTAACTGATTTATTGTTAAGGGTAAAGATCAGTTCTGGTCGTGCGATTGCATTGTGAAAGAAATGGTGTGGAATCGATCAGATAAGGTTGATCATCTAGCATATAAGTATTGGCGTGTACTGCAAGGTTCTGGAATCATCAAAATGATAGGAAATTTGGCCCAGTCTTGGTAAAGTTACAAGCACTGTACACAGAAAGCTGTATATAGGACTACACTATATGTGCAGGATATCTATCAGGTCAAAATAGATATAATAATTTACCAAATATATCAAGTTGTAGGCGGTTTCTCATCAAAATTTGTATCATCACGTATTAGTCAAAACATATTCTTTCACATGATTGGTAACAAGAGCTTCCATTTCATTTTTTGAGAGGGGGGCATTTCCAAAACTGATCTTCAACTTTAACATTGGTGTTATAGAGTGTGAAAACTGCAGATTTTTTGAAAATGGAAATATGCAAAATTAACCAACAAGTTTCATTTTCGTATTGCATGATGTGTTTGGATGGATGTTTTTTCTATACATGCAGCCCCAAATTGAGACACTAGTTGAATGGCCTTTTACTATATGTGGTCTATCACATCAATGGTATGTGACAAATACAAATGTTATGCCCCACCTCTGTATGCAAAAAGCATATTTACATTACCACTTGAATATGGTATTCATCACAATCCAGCTATTCAGATGGCTTTGCACAGTAATCTCACTTGAACCATGTAGGTCCATGCTTGAAAGAAGGAAAGGTATGCGATTGTTAGGGTGTGACAGCATAATGGATTTAAGTGTTTGACGTCAATGTTTGGCAAGGCCTTCGGAAGTGATGGTCAACTGAAAGGTTGAGACTATTTAATAGACCATGCCCATATGATTGTAGATCAATCACTATTAAAGGGTATTATGAAAATCATCATGACAGATTGGTTTAAACAGGGGTTACGGTATGATTAAAATAATACACAACAATTAAAGTAGGCGTATATTTTCCATCTAGACTGGGAGGAAATTTATGAAAGTGTACATGCAACAATATGCCCCAAATCCTAACAGTTTAGTACATTTAACCACAAGATAAGAATAAGACCCCACCCTTTTTCCATCCTCTCTCTGACTTGATCGATCCCTCCCCCCCCCCTTCTCTCTCTCTCTCTCTCTCTTTCTATCTCTCTCTCTAAATGTCTCTCATTTCTCCTTTTTCATCTCCCCTAAAAGAAAACTTTCTGCTTGTGTATCTTTCCCTACATAATTATTCTGTTTCACTCTTCTCCCCCCCCCCCCCCCCTCTCTCTCTCTCTCTCTCTCTCTATATATATATATCTCTATTACATTTCCCTCTCTCTCTCTCTCTCCATTTCCCTCTCTCTCTCTGTCTCTCTCTCTCTCCCTCCCACTCAAATTTCCTGATACCTTGAAGTGCTGTACATGCACCTGACGCTATCTTCACCATACACAAAAGAAGCCTCTCCATCTAGCATCTATCACCTTTTCTGGCACACATCCTAATGAGGCAATTAAAGCCCTACCTCTCGTTTTAATTGGTT